GTCCCAGCCCTCCCTCTTTTTCTTCCCCCAGGCCAGCCTCCAGGGGCTGCTTGAGGAGCGGAGACCCTGCTGTATCCCAAGTGAAGGAAGAGGCTGGCAGTTCCCCAGGCAAGCTCAGAATGCTCTGAGGGCTCACTTCTAGTCCAGGGACGCGGGAGAAGGCATCAATGTCACCTTCTCAGGCAGGCCTCCCCGGCTACCCTTTCTAAGGAAGTCTCACGTTGTTATTCTCTATTGCTGCACCCAGTTCATTTCCTTCTTAAGGTTTATTACAAAGTGTAGCTAGGTATATGTACTCATTTCTTTACTTGCTTACTTGTTACTGCCTGTCTCCTCCACAACAGTGGAAGTTCCCGGAGGTTAGATGCTCTGCTTTTGTGTTCACTGCTTACCTGGGCCCAGTGCGTGGCACACAGCAAGGCTCAGTCAGCACCCAGGGAATGGAGGGACAGCGGAGTGACTGGCTCAGTAATGGAGCCTCCTTATTGCCAACATACCTTTAGGGTTGGTGCTCAACTATTCCAAGATTTCCCCAGGGAAGAGGAGGCAGGATGTAACAGGAAGAGAAAGGTCAGGAAGCCTGGGACCCCAAGGGAAAAGCCAAGGCCCAGTTAGTGTGTGCGCTGGCCTCACCTAGTCCCCACCATCATGCCAAGGGTGGACATGGGCATACCTGCATACACAGAGGATGCATGGCTACACCCTGGACCAGTCTTCAAAGGCTTGAGTTTTGTCTTGGTTCCCCCTCTCAACAGCCCTGTGTCCCTGGACAACATACCTACCGGGTTTTGCCATGTATAATGCACACCTTTGCCCAAATTTTTTAGGGAAAAGTAAGGATGTGCATTATACATGGGTAGTACTAATTCCGTATCTATATCAAAGTTTTTAATTCTTTTATTTATGTTTATGCGTTAAAAGTGTAACTCTAGAAAGCAATAACGATATCTGTATGCAAAATAATACCCTGGAATATGATCATCGGTTTTGTATATAAATAAAAAATTGAATTAAAAAATTAAAGCAAAAGATTTCTTTCCTGAAAGTTTGGACCAAAAACTTGGGTGTGCAACACGGAAGCGCAATATGCATGGCAAAATATGGTACCTTCTAAAAGTCTCAGTTCCTTCAAAAGAAAAGAATGAAGAGATTGGCCCAGATGGTTGGTCCTCAGGTCCTCAAACACAGCCTTACACCAGAATTGCCTAAAGCACATGTTAAAATCCAGATTCCCAGGCTCTCCCCTACAGATTCCGAATCTGTCTGGATGGGGCCTAAAGAACTTTTAATTTTTTATTTAAGACTCTCCCAGCTGACTCTGAAACAAATGGTCCAGAAACTGACATTTGAGGACCACAAATGAGGTGGTGCTTTCCAGCCAGCACCTGGGCTTCTATTAAACAGCCATTTCTGCACAGGTATACATCCCCCCCAAACATGAACATATACCCCACAGAGAGCCGCAAACTGCAGAGGTATACACTGTACAGATAACACATGTCGGCACTACACGTGTACACGCTCCTAAAGGACCCAACACCAAGCCACCACACGGATCACAAATTGCCACAGAACCACATCTACAAACTCAGCCTGGGGCATGCTCACAGGCCTTGCACAGCCAGTGTGCACACACACCCATCACATGTTGACCCACACTAAACAGACGCTATCCTGAATTTATTTTGCCTCTGGGAACTGGTCCAGGACCAAAGGAGCTCTGCTCTGCTGATGAAAACATCCCTCCCGCCTCTGCCACCTCCACCCCACCCCCTGCCCCAGGCAGCACGCTGTCCACCTCCACTTTGCAGGCATTTTGCAGGGGATGCCGCGGAAGGAGGCCAGCGGAGAGATGGGATGAGGGGAGACACAGAGCCCTCCCCAAAGCCCAGCGGCCGCTCTCTGCCTAGTCTCCCCACCCCGGGGAAATGCAAAAGGGCCTCCACCCAACTGCCCCTCAGTGCTTGCTCTGCCTACTGGCCTAGATTCCCAGGCCCCCCTGGTCCCAGCAGCCAAAAGAGCTAGGGAGGTGGCCAAAATGTAGGGGCTCCTCCTAATACTCAGGCCTCTAAGGAAAGGGCTGTCTGGGGGCACCTTCCTGCAGCCCAAAGGCCTGGGTCCCCCAGGGAGGGTTACCACAGAAACAGGGGGAAATATCACAGGGAAACACAATACCCGGCAGGGTCACCTGGTGACCAGGCTTCCTGCTGTGTTGCCCACCGCCCCCCTCATCTCAGAGGCGAGAGCCTCCTTCTCCAGCCTCCACTTGGGCCTCCTCTCCCTTGCTCTCTGTCCTGCCTCCCCTGGGCTGGGGGATGCAGCCTTGCACAGCAAGTCTGCCCCTCTGCAGTTCCAAACAACATCCTCAGGGATGGCCCTCAGAGCTGAGCCCCCCACTCCTAATCCTACCAAGGCCCCCACCACAGGAAATCAAAGCTTCCTGCCCCAGAGGAAGTGCCCCATCCAGTGAACAAATCCAACACACACAAACGCAGTCCTGGAGCCTCGGGGCGGACAGATGCCCTCCCCCAGTTCCCAGGCCCACTTTAGGCCCCAGTCTCAAGTCTGGCTGTGGACAGGCCAGGGCCGAGCTGTGAGGGGCAGGCGTGGGCAGGACCTGACCCAGGCCAGGGGAGGAGGAGGCCAGGAGAACGGGCACCAGCAGAGTGAGGTCTGGTTGTAGCTCCACAGGGCCTGCCATTCCCTACTGTGTGACCCTGGGCCTTGCATTAGCTCATCTTCTCTCAGGTCCCTGCCAACATTTAAATTACCAGCTGGTAATGAAAGGTCAGGACAAAGAAAACAAAGAGGAGGTAGGGGTTACACAGGCTTCTGCCTCCAGGTCCTTGGGCAAGCATGTCCACAGCCAGGAGAAGGCCCCTACTGGCCACCCCCACCATGCACGAGTTTCTCACTCCCATTATCAAGAGTAAGGAGGAGATGGAGGAACGTCAAGTTCCAACTCTCAGTCCCAGAAGTCACCACGAATGAAAGCTGGGGTCCATCACCCTGAAGGCAGTCCGGAGGTACATAATAGTCCCCACATGGGACAGCAGTCCCTCTCTTTATAGTCAACTTCTCCTCTGTGCCCTAGAAAGTGCACCCAAAATTTCCTCCCCATTTCATCTGATGGGGAAACTGAACTTCAATGTCAAAGCCGACTGACCAGTTTAGATTTTTGGGAGGGTCAGTGCAAGACCTGAAAGCGACTTCCCAGCCTCAGGATCCCAGCTTAAGACCTGGTAGCCAGAGAGACACCCCATCCATGGGCTCAAGCTAAGAAACACAGAGGCCTCAGGAGAACGCTTCCCCAGGCCATTTCAGATGTAACAACAGTGGCGGCTCTAAACTTGGCCCTGCTGGGAGCGAGGAACATCAGGGGACTCAAAGGCGAGGGAGGAGTCCCAGCAGGTCCAGGACCTGGTTCCAGTCTTGATTCACTGCGTACAACAGAGCAGGCCTGCTTTGTGCCTTAGTTTCTCTTAGAATTAACTGCAGAAAAGAGGAAAATTACTTATTAATTGAGGTGGGTAGAGGAAACAGCAGGTAGAGAAAGAGAATGAGACGCTAAGCAGTGAGGAGCTACGAGATGGCTTGCAGAAGCTGAAAAGGGAGCCTGGGAAGTCTAAACCCAGTGGCGTGAGGAGAAAAGTGTATGTGGCAGTTGAAGCCACTTCATGGACAGGGTCCTGTTGGGGAAAAATGGGCTGCCAAGGTGCCCCATTAGGGTGTAGGAAACTGAGTCACAGTCTTCCTTCTCTCAGCCCAGTGCCTGAGCAGGGATCTTGAGGAAGACCCCTGAGTCCAGGTGCAAGTCCCAGCCACAGGCTGAACAGTCCAGATGTTGAGTCCTCAGGGCCACTAAGGTCCAATGTCCTATTCTCACTATAGAAATTGGCAGGCCAAGCTGGGCCTCAAGCAGATGTTGAATTGGTGTGTGGAGAGGGATGGGTAACAGCAAGACAGCCAGGGTCCAGATGCAGGGGGGTGGCCTCTAGTGTGCAGGACAGCCAGCAGGGACAAGGGAATGGCCTGGACTTGGTGGGAGGAGCAGCAGTGGCTGGCCAGGTCAGATTCGAATGGGCAGCCAGAGAGAAGGAAACGGGGGTGGCGGGATCTGGGTGGCCTGCAGGCCCCAGAGGGCTCTCTCCCAGCCCACAGGTCTAGAAACTCTGCGTGTCAGAGCCCAGCCCAGCTGCCAGATTTGCAGCCTCCTCTCATACTCCCGAGCACCATCAGACTCCAGGGCTGGGGCGGGGTGGGGGGGGGCGCACATCCTGTCCCCCACCACTCATGACAGAGCCTGCGGTCCCCACCTCTGCCGGCCCCTCCGCAACTCACTTGGGCACAGGTGTCTCTTCACCCTAATGGGTGAGCAAGGGTGGGAGGCGGTGCTCAGGGAAATCTCCCTGTCCAGGACCCTCCATCCAAGGGATCATTTACCCCCAGCCAACGGGTTGGAGCAAGGCCCTGCGGAGATCCGCGAGCTGGGGGCGCTGAGGTCCAGCGCCAAGAACCCAGCCCCAAGAACCCAGCCCCAACTCAGTGGGTCCTGCCCTTTGCCCTCTCGCTTCCAAACCTTCCGCTCCGGAGCACCGCCCCCTCCCGGGGCCTCGCAGCCGTCCCTCCCTCCCCGGTCCCCCAGCCTGTCCTCCCCAGGAATGTGGGTGATGGGACCCCGGATTCAAGCATCGGCGGCCCGGGGCCTCCAACTCCCTCCCTCGGGCCTGTCGCTGCCCCCGGGGCGGGCGGATGTGGGCGCCCAGCGGGAGGCCCGAGTCCTCCGGCCCCCGGAACCAGCCCCGGCCAGGAGCCTGCCAGAGTCCCGCGGAGCCGGGTGGGGCAGGCGCGGTCCTGGGGCGCACGCCGGACCAGCCCGTGGGGTGCCCGGAGTCCAAGCTGGAGCCTGAGCCCGAGCCCGAGCCCAAGCCGGGGCGGTTGGTGCTGGGAAGCCGCGCAGGGCGGGGCGGGCGGGACGGGGGCGGCAGCCCGGTACTCACCAGCGCCGGGACTGTGCATCCAGGGGCCGGGGCCCTCAGAGCGGGGGGCTCATGGCGAGGCGGGGGGCTGGGGCACCGGCCTCACATCCCCCCAGTCGCCGGAGGCTGCAGAGCGACTGTGAGACGGCGAGAGGAAGGGAGGGGGCCGGGAGGGGGAGGGCCCTGGCAGCCCGGCCGGCCGGGTAGGATGACAATGGAAGGAAATGCTTTATCTGAGCCTGAGAGCGGGCCAAGGGGGAGGGGAGGGAGGGGGCCGGCGCTCGCGGCCCTGGGACACACCACCCCGGCAGACGCAGCACTGCGCGGCGGCGGACACACCGCGCGGCCCGGGTGGCAGCGCAGGACCCGGAACGCGGGACGCGGCCCCTATCCGCGCGAGGTCGCCGCGCTGCGTGCCGCGCAGCCACAGCCGCAGCGCACCAACCCGCGCACAATTCCCGGAAACCCGGCTACCTGAGCGCCTGCAGCCATGCATACCCGACATGGACATACATCCATGTTTACACAGGGCTAGAGTCAGGGAAGGACCCCCACGCCCACGAGTACAGACAAGTAGAGCCCACGAACAATCACACTTAGGGACAGTTGGACACGCGTGGGGTCCCAAGCCCCATGCAAGGAATCTCAGACAGACCCCCCCCTTCTTTCACGACTTGCCTGAGGAAAGTTCCAGGATCTGATTTGAATCACTGCCCAGCCCTCCCCCTTTACCACCCCCCACCCAACGCCTGCTGAGGGGAACAGAAGGGTCCAGCCTGTTCCTATTAAAAGAAAAAGGGGATGGGGGCGGTGCAGATTTTAAGTTTCCTTTTTTTAAACAAATTTCTCAAGGGATTTCCTTCCCTTCTCTCCTCTTCCTCTCTTCCTCCCATTCCTCTCCCCCCACAACTCTCCCCCCCTTTTCCCCCTCCCGGTCCCTATGAGTCAAACTTCAGCAATGTGCCCAGTGTCTCCCAGTGCATTACAGCGGATCACAGAAATGTTCCAGTCTGTGAGTCGGAATGTAGCCGCCTCCAGCCCTCCCTCAGCTAATAAACTCAGCTCCTGCCGGCTTTGCGCAGCAGCCCTCCCTGCACACCCCCTGCGCAGCCCCTTTTAGCAGAAGGAGGTCAGATTCAGGGGTCAGAGGCTGACGACCTCACCACTCTGCTTCCCGGCCTAGCCTATCAGTTCTGTCGCCTCTGGCAATCTGCTGGGTCCGGGACACCGTGGCTCCTGGGAAAGAGAGAGGTCCGCAATGTGGAACACTAGGGGCCTTCCTCTCCTGTGAGGCATCACCACCAGAAGGCGGAACACAACCTCCATCTCACCCCGTCCTCCCTTCATCCTAGGAACCCCAACAGTCTCACAATTCTACAGAAGGAGAAATTAAGGCTAAGCCAGAGGCAGAGCCATGGCAGATGGGAAACAAGAGTCCACAGTGGCCTAGGAGGGCTTGGCCACACTGAGGTTCAACTTCTGACCATAGACTCCTGGTTCCCACAAGCACAGGTCCAGACTCACTTCTTGTTGCTCCCTGGGATTTTTGGCAACTGACTTCCTATTTCAGTCCCTTTCCTGTCCCAGCACTCACTCAGCAGGCAGTGAGTGCACTTGTTACCTTATCCTCACGAAGTTCTTTGTTGGCCTTCAAGCCCTCCTTCTATACGACGACGGCGCCATACTACACACATACCTCTCTCCTTTTTTCTGCTGTTCTGCCCAGTGCCTCCAGGTACTTAGTGCTCTATAATGTTAGTTGCGATTATTGCTGTTTTTGTTTCAGCCAAAGTGGGCTGCTGGCTGCTCCCCTTTGTGTTCCCATTCTTTCCCAATCCCTCTCCTTGGCTCATTGTGTTCCCTCCAAAAATCAATGTTCTCACTGTCCCTTTCTCCTCCTGTTGAAATCTTTCCAATCCTCAAGCCTATACCAACTTCTCCAGGAGCCGTTCCCTGATTCCCAAAGCCGGGGAGCTCTTTCCTTCCATTAAAGGACCCCCCCACCCATGTTATCAGTCTTCCTCTCTACATTGACCTTTATCCACATAGTCTGTCTACTTGTCCCAACTCTCCTTCCCAAGAATGTTCAAGAGTAGACATCCCTGAGCCCAGCTACTGCCTTAGTCATGGCTACATTTCTTGTCATGTCTTGCTAAGTAAGTGCCTTATACAGGATTCAAGTTCCCTGTGGGTTATTTGCTGAATTGGGACAAATGTTCATGGCCTCCAAGAACCGTACCCCAGCTGGGCACCTCCAATATATCCTTATTTTCCCCATGATTTCCCATGATGGCTCTGCAAGACACATATTCTTCCACTTCAGGTGTGTCCTTCCAAGCCCTAACTTCCAAACCAGAGCATTCTGTTTCCAGATCCCTCCTCCATGCCCACAGCCTCCAGAAAAATTGCTTGGTTACTTCAGAGTCTCAGCCCTTTCCCTGCTGTCTCTCTCCTTTAATGCCCTAATGCCCTCTCCTCAACCCCCAGGACTCCTGTGGTTATTTCTGGGCTGAATTCAGGCCCTTGTTTGCTCATTTCTTCCATGTGTATCAATTATGTATTTATTTGTGAGCCTTCTTTTTTCTTTTTGGCCTAATCACTGCGTTCTGAAAGATCTGAGCCAAATGGCATCTCCCACTGCCTGTGTCTGCCCCCATGGTACCCAGCACGTGGCTTTCTCCACACACCAGGACTCACTGCCCCCGAAGTATAGACGGAGAGAGGCTGCAGTGAGACCTGCATCTGGGAAGCTGGACCGTGCCCCTCCCTCCGTTGCCAGTTCTGTTTACCAGTCCATACCCCCTCCTCCCATGGCAGAGCCTTAAGCCAGTTTCTAAGTCACATGTTCTTTGTTGGGATATGTTAGCCTCCAAGAGCCCTAAGAGACAGGAGACTGAAAAATACAAGCTACCGCACTCTCTTCTGTCCTGGTTACCATGGGAAGTATTTTTAAAAGGTTCTTGGGCCCAGGTTTCTCACAGTCCTGCTCAGCTAAGCACCCAGACTCCACAAGACCTGCCTTGTCTCCCCCAAGTCTTCTTGGAATCTCTAGCCAGTACAAAGCCTAGGGCACCCTCTTCTGCTTTTTTCTCCTCTCCTTTCCCTCCTTCCCATACTTAGCTGTTTTTTGTTTGTTTGTTTGTTTGTTTGTTTTGGCTTTTTTCCCTAACTATTTACCATGTAGTAGCCCTATAACTATCCCCTTGGCAAACATTAGATCATTTATTCTTAACAATAATCTTTGTTATGCTCATGATTAAAGTATGGCCCATAAAGGTTAAGAAACCTGACCAAAGTTACTCAGCCAGTAAATGATTGGGCCATTCATTTATTCGACAAATATTTTTGGGTGTCCACCTTGTACCAGGATACAAAGCTCCAGAAAGTCATCTGGCCTAAACCTCAGGGCTTGAGATCACTCATGTCCCAGCTTTCTTTCTTTTTTTAAAAAAATAAATTATTTTGTCCTCACCAGAGGACATGTTTATTGATTTTAGAAAGAGGAGGAGGGAAGGAGAGGGAGAGAAACATCAATGTGAGAGAGAAACATCCATCAATTGATTGATAGGTTGCCTCTCTTAAGCACCTGGACTAGGAACTGAACCCACAACCTACGCATGTGCCCTGACCAGGAATCAAACTTATAGTCTCTCTCAGTTTCTGGGACTATGCTCTAGCCAAGTGAGCCACGCCAGCCAGGGTACGGCTTTCCTGATATGGTAACCAAAGCCACAGTCATCCCCCAGTCCACACTTTCCATATGCTTGCCACAAAAGCAGTCAGAAAGTGCTCCGTCCCCAAAGCCTGGTGAGGTCTCTGAGGACAGCCCTCTCGCTGGGTTGGGGTGGGTCTTGCATTCCAGTTTATGAACCTGGTATCAAATGCCAATACACAGGGTCTTAGACTTGCAAACTAATAGGGAACATAGTTCCCCAACTCCAAATAAATGGTTTCATGGGACCAGATATAATAAGTGGAAGGCAAGAAGGAAAGCAGGAAGGAAGGAAGGAAGGGAGGAAGGGAGGGAGGGAAGATTATTAGGATTTATTGAGTGTCTCCTTTGTATCATATGCTGTTCAAGGCCCTTTCACTTATATTTCATTATTATCCCTGTTGTTTCAGTAAGCAAACTAAAGCTCAAAAAAACAAAATGATTTGCCCAAGGCCACAAAGCCAGTAAGTGACTTAATCCTGAATATGTCTAATTCAGAGCCTGTGCAATTTCTTCTAGCAGGTCAAAACAATGGAGAAGCAGCTGCCAGACCCCCTGCCCCAGTGCAAACCTGGTTATTTGAGGTCCCAGCTGACCTATGTGTAACATCCTAGATGCCAAGTTTTCTCCCTCACTGACCACAGCCATGTTGTCTCATCTCTCATTCCCACCTTTCTCTGTTGCATTGCACAGGCAGGATTAGGAAGCCACATAAGTTTTCTGGCTAGGACTGAGGGGGGTGGGGGGCTGTTGTGTGGCTTTGGGGTGCAGCCAGGCAGACCCCCAACCTGGACTTCAGGATCTGAGAGAAAAAATGATACATTCTCCTGGGCCAGAATTGGATGGATAAATCAAAAAGAGGCTGGGGCATGGCTACAAGTCCACACGGCTCTGGTTGGAAGGCCAGATGACCGTGGGGGCTGAGGCAGGTGGAGGGAACTAAGCAAGTCCCCTCCCCGTACCCCTCCCTCCCTCCAGTGTCAACAAAGGTGATGTGGTTTCCCCTGTGGTTTGTTGCCCTAGACACCTGCAGTTCTGAGTGTGTGTATGTGTGTATATATATATATATATATATACACACACACACACACACACACACACACACACACACATACACACACACACACACACACTCTCTCTCACACACACACACACCCCCCCCAACAATGCTGTGGGGGGACACAAGGAAAAAGCAGTGGGACAGGATGGGGAGGGGCAGGAAGCCAGAGACTGGCTCTCCTCAACCCTAGGACAAAGAAGGAGGAATGAATGCACAAGATGGCAAAGATCGCCCTCTTGACAACTCCAGGTGCTCAGCCGGGAACATCAGAAAAGAGCTTGAAGAAAGGCATTGTGGGTACCAGGGCTCCTGGGCTAAGGCTGGGAGTCAGGGAACTTGAGTTCTAGGCCTGGTTCTGCCATTAACTTCCTGGGTCTCAGCTTTCTAAGT